TTAACACCCAAATCTTTCTTCTAATTAATTTCCTTTCAATGTGCATGAATCCGTGCACCGGGCCACTAGTAAGGTAATAATAATGACCTTCAACACATATCAAAATAAGCAATGTCCTTATTTTCTTTCTTTTTTTTTAATTTTATTTGTCTAGACCAGGGGTGGGCAAACTTTTTGACTCGAGGGCCACAATGGGTTCTTAAACTGGACCGGAGGGCCGGAACAAAAGCACGGATGGAGTGTTTGTGTGAACTAATATAAATTCAAAGTAAACATCATTACATAAAAGGGTACAGTCTTTTTTTTTTTAGTTTTATTCATTTCAAACGGGCCAGATCCAGCCCGCGGGCCGTAGTTTGCCCACGGCTGGTCTAGCCCATGCATGCAGAAGAGACATAAGCCATTCTAAAAGGAGATGCTATCTGTGTATAAATGCTATCTGTGTATAAATCACATACAGGATTACTTTAATTCATTCCACAAGTATTTTCTGAATGTCCATTAGGGGCCAGTCATTATGCTAGACAATATGCCTATGATGGTAAGCAAAAGCAGACACAGTTCCAATCCTCATAGAGCTTCTGGTCATGCAATCGCACAGAATGTAAACTTGTGGTAAGTGATATAAAGGACAGTACATATTACTCTGAGAACCAGTAACAGAGACCTAACCTAACTAGGGACATCAAGGAAGGCCTTCCAGAGAAAGTGAAATCTGAGAGCTAAAGGATGAAGGGGGAGTTAGCAGTGGAGGGTATTTCCAGGCAGAGGAAAGCAGGAAATGGGCAAAAGGCAGGATCAAAAGGCCAGTGTGAGTGTGCAGGAGGCAGCTGATCGATGTTTCTCTCTCTCTTCGATGTTTCTCTCTATTCCTCTCCCTTCCTCTCTGTAAAAAATCAATAAAATATATGTAAAAAAAAAAAAAAAAAAAAAAAAGGCCAGTGTGCCTGGAGCAAAGATGAGGTGTGAGAATTAGCTAGGGTTCTGGACCACTCAAAGGCTGAGGCTTTGCACATCATATTCAAGAGTTGTAATGACTCCAAGAGCAATGTAAAAGTCACTGAAGGTTTTTTTATAAATGCTTATTTGGGGGACAGGTAGGCTAAAGGGAAGATGCAATCAGATCTGCAGTTTGCCTTTGGCTTCTGGAATAATAGCTAAGAAATATAGATGGGTCAGGTAGGAAACAGAAATTCTGTCAGGATATGAAGTAGCTTAGGGACTAGGGTGATAAAGGTGGTGGTGGAAGAAATCAAAGAATTCAAGACATATTCAGAAAAACCTGATGATCCTATATCAGTGATGGTGAACCTTTGAGCTTGGCGTGTCAGCATTTTGAAAAATCCTAACTTAACTCTGGTGCCGTGTCACATATAGAAATTTTTTGATATTTGCAACCATAGTAAAACAAAGACTTATATTTTTGATATTTATTTTACATATTTAAATGCCATTTAACAAAGAAAAATGAACCAAAAAAATGAGTTCGCGGTCATAGGTTCACCATCACTGTCCTATATAATACAAGCCCAGCGATCGAACGGCAGAAGGACCAATGACCAGTCGCTATGATGCACACTGACCACCAGGGTAAAAGCGCAATGTAGGAGCTGCCCCCTAGTGGACAGTGAACTCCCACAGTGGGAGCGCCACTCGGCTGACCTGCTCCCGCTGCAGAAGCAGCCACTCAGAGGGCGGGTCCATAGCCACTCAGCTGATCGGGATGAGTAGCATTCCCACAGTGGGCTGATTCCCACAGACCATGCCCCCCAGCAGTGCACAGATTCCGTGCACCGGGCCTCTAGTGTATATATAATATACCTGGGCTGAGAGAGAGCAGTGTCCATGAATAGTTCTGGGTTTCTGATTCACATGACTGTATGGAAGGTAGATACCATTCAGGCAGGATCTGCTCCAGAAACATCTGTAAGACAATTTCCACACCCCAAAGAGGGCCTAAATGCATTTCAGTTTTGCCTTAACCCAATTTGATCCCCTACTTTACTTTTGAAATAGTGTTCCAAGGATTTTTTGCTATTTCCAAAAATTGAATTGCCTCTCAAAAGTACAAGATTTTTCCAACATTGAAAATATTTCAAAGACTAGAGGCCCAGTGCACAATATTTGTGCACTGGGGGAGGGAGGGAGGGTCCCTCAGCCCGGCCTGCACCCTCTCACAGTCTGGAACCCCTCGCTTCTTATCACTTGGCTCGTTGCTCCTTAGCGCTGCCGCGGAAGTAGGAGAAGCTCCCTCCACAGCAGTTGCACTCACCAGCCATGAGCCCTGCTTCTGGCTGAGCACACTGACCACCAAGGGGTAGCTCTTGCATTGAGCGTCTGAACCCTGGTGGTCAGTGCACATCACAGCAACTGGTTGTTCCGCCCGTAGTTCCGCCATTAGGTTGATTTGCATATTAGGCTTTTATTATATAGGACTAGAGGCCCGGTGCACAAAAATTGTGCCCTCAGGGGGGGAGGGGTCCCTCAGCCCGGCCTGTGCCCTCTTGCAGTCTAAGAGCCCTAGGTGGATGACCACCTGCTGGCTTAGGCCCGTTCCCTGGGGGATTGGGCCTAAGCTGGCAGTCAGACATCCCTCAGGCAGCCCAGGAGCCCTCAAGGGGTGTCCACTTGCCAGTGGGGAGCAGGCCTAAGCTGCAGTCGAACATCCTTAGTGCTGCTGAGAAGGCTCCCACCACCACCACTGTACTGGCAGCCATCAGCCTGGCTTGTGGCTAAGCAGAGCTCCCCCTGTGGGAGAGCACTGACCACCAGGGGGCAGCTCCTGCATTGAGCGTCTGCCCCCTAGTGGTCAGTGTGTCATAGTGACCAGTCATTCCCAGTCTTTCTGCTGTTAGGGTCAATTTGCATATTACCCTTTTATTATATAGGATAGAGGCCTGGTGCATGGGTGGGGGCCGGCTGGTTTTCCCTGAAGGGTGTCCTGGATCAGGGTGGGGGTCCCGCTGGGGTGCCTGGCCAGCCTGGGTGAGGGGCTGAGGGCTGTTTGCAGGTTGGCCACAGCCCCCAGCCACCCAAGCTCTCAATGGAGGCTGGCTGGCAACAGGTATGCGGGGTTTATTTATCTTCTATAATTAAAACTTTGTTGCATTTAGCAGAGGCCACCGCCAGCCAGGGCAGGCTGGAAGCTTGGCTTCCTCCATCACTGGGGCAACCAAGCCTGCTTGCTCCAGCTCTGTGGCTGCCAGCTGCCATCTTGGTTGGGTTAATTTGCATATAGTCCCTCTGATCGGCTGGTGGGCGTGGCTTGGCCGTAGCAGAGGTGCAGTCAATTTGCATGTTTCTCTTTTATTAGATTAGATTCCACCACAGCTTTGAAATAAATTCTAGATGAGTTCTAAAATCGGTTTGAGCAATGGACTAACATTATGGAATAAATGTGTTATTTCCTATGATGACTTCTATTATAAGACTACACCCATTTGCTGTTTAATGTAAATACTTTAAAGACATCTTTACAGGTAAGAGTACTCTTCCATGATATTAAAGTAAAATATGAAATTTTATCAAACATTGCAATAATTGGAACTATAATACTTGGAACTATGCTGCTTTTATGTTTGTTTCAACATTGTGAAATGCCAGTAGAAAACAGTTGTTTCCATCTAGTCCTTGTTAATATCCATCACATTCATTTGATATAAACCATTTGTACTAAACCACTTTATCAATACCTTATCAATAGTTTAATATTTGCTTTCCTTGGTTTTAATTTTTTAATTTGCAACCTAATGCCATCTTCATAGTGGAATACTGATGCCATTAAGTCTTAGAAACATAGAAACTTCAAATCTGGGTAACCCCCCCAAATATGTGAATCAAAGAGTTTTGCCCCTTTAAAATCAATCTAACACATCATACCTTAGTACTAAAGTATTTCTCTAATTCTGGCAGGCTTGGTTCCTTGGCCCCTTGCTTGCACTAAGCCCTGACTAGCATTTTATTAATGCTCAACTGCAGTTACCAGAATGTTACCATGGCTTGTACAAAGCAGAATTCTTTTTTTCCCCGGTGCTGATTTTATCTCAAAACGTCAAAAGGAAAGACTGTGGTCTGAGGCTAAATATAAAAAATATCATCTCCACAAATGAGGAGAAACGGGTTTTTAAACAATCAAGTATTAAACAAGCCCATTAACCAATATTGGTTTGTAGAACCAGATTGTCTCCATACTAGAAACAGTACTATCAAATGTGGTTCTTGGGGACAAGGTCTGGAGAGTTTGAAATGGGTGACCATCTTATCTCAGATTTTTTCTATTAAAATATGGAATCAGACCATATGGCTCTATCTGAGCATGGCTAAGGCCGGGTATGGGTAGTGCCAAGAAAGAGGCAGGGAAAAATCTGTAGGACTCCCATCTTCTCAGAAGGTGTGGTGCCGGTCTGTCCCGCAAAAATGTGAGAGAGGGGGGTAAAAGGCCCGGCTTTTCCCCTACCCAAGCCCTCAAAATGACACCGCAAACCACTTCCTCCTGGGATGACGGTCACAAGCGCTTAGGGACAATGGAGCTCAAAGTAGGCTCCGGAAAGATGGAGACCGGAATCAGACGGGGTAGGGAAGTGGGCGTGCAGAACAGGAAGGTCCAGGCCGGAGACTTCGAGAGCGTGGGAAGGCCCGGACCTTCCAGAATGTGCCCCTCAGGCGGCCAGGGCGCTGCCCGAGGCCCGCGGGGCTCATCTGGAAACCGAGGGCATCCTCGGGAGGGCAGACGGTCCCCGCAGGAGCCCTGCCCCCAACTGGGGCTTTTCTGCCCTAGAAAACACAAATGCGCACAGAAAGCAGCAAAACCTGTATAGGAAGGAGAGGCCTGAGGCAAGGAGCTCTGCAAACGTGGGGGCCGGGGGCGGCCGGAGGGGGGGGGAGTGGGGGAGGCCCGTTTCGGGGGAGGGCGGCAGGGGCGCGGCCGACGAGGGAGGCCGCCGCGGGTTGGGGCGCGGGGCCCCCGGGCTCCGACAGGCCCACCACCCCGGCCCGCTTACCTGCTCCTCCTCCGGGGTCAGCTCCGGCGCCATGTCGGCCTGGGGCGCGGTCGCGGGCTCCATCCCGCCGCCGCCGCGAACAGAGCCGGCTCGGGAGCGCGACGCGGCTCAGCAGTGCGGGGCCGGCCCGTGCATGCTGCGCCCGGCGCCGTTGTCTCCTCGCCGAAGGCTCCCCGGTGTCGCCGTCTTCTGGGCGGAAATCCGTGTGTATTTTCTCCTCCCGGAAAACAGTGCCGGCGAAAAGCTGAAAGCCGATCCGGAGGAAAGAGGAGGAAATGAAGAACGGTGAAGGCCTCGGCGGCGGCGCCCCGCTCCTACCGAGCGTGACGGATCCTTCGGCTGCGGTCCGGCCACCAGCCAGCCACCTCAGAGCCTCAGGCCACGGCCAGGGGCAGAGGGAAGAGACGGAATGTCGCGCCTCCCTTCCGACTCACTGCCACCCCCGCGGCTGCCCGAGCCCCCCGCGGCTCCATTGAGAAACTGCGCGTCCTGTTCTTAAGGGGCGGGCAACGAGCTGGGTCCGCCCGGCAAGACGCAGTCCGGGAGGGGGCGACAGAGAGGAGGGGGGCGGGTGCCTGCTGGGGGAAGCGGGGGCGGGAGGAGAAAAAGGAAGGCGGGAGTGTGCGTTCTCGGAGGTAAAGTTCCATGGAAGGCGGGAATTCAGCTGCAGATCGGCCCGTCTCCACGGTGACTGGCCGCGAGGACCCAGTGAGGAAGGCACCTGCTCCCGCCGCTGGCGGACTGGAGGCCCCTGGAGCAGCCCGCGGGGTCCCGACTGCTCAGGTGGCGAACCTCCGGGTCAGCCCCGCCCGGGCTCTCGCTTGGCCGCGGTATCCCGGAATCCATCGCCCACGGAAACTAACGTTAGTACCTCGCAACCACAGCCTCGGGTTTGGGACCGCATCCAGAACACTGCAGCTTCTGCAAGCCTCTGATTTCCCCGCAGGCGGTACCACGAGTCGGGGGCGTCTTACTGCGCGGTGTGGGCCAGTTCCGGAGTCACAGGGAAAGCAGGGTTGGCTCTGCTGTTTCGGCGTCATTCCAGACCAAAAATAAATAATATAAAAGGGTTGAACAGCGGAGGGTCTTCAGACCGCTGAGGAAGTTCCTTCCAGGACTTTAAAAACAGCCTCTGACCTCACCTCATTTCTGCATCATTGCAACAGGAAATTCGGGTGCCTGCCCTTAGTTAAAAAAGAAGCCCCTGGTACTCAGGAAGGTTATTTTAGCCTTTGCATCAGGAAGGCTGACTCTGGGTTGACTTCATAACCACTTGCAGGAGTTATGGTTTCATTATTACAACCAGGTGCTCCTCTGGGAGACACTGTTTATTTAACAAGAATATTTATATACCAGGCCCTGGGGTTACTTCCACATATTAGAATTTGGAATTATCCCTAAGCTATATTATGAGGTGAAAAAATCAAGACCCAAGTGTGCATTTTATGCTGTCACATGTATAAAGAAAAAAATGATCATCCATACATACATTTGTAAACTTATTTATACACTAGAGGCCTGGTGCACAGTATTCATGGGGTGGGGGGGGGGGGGATCCCTCAGACCAGCCTGTGCCCTCTCACAGTCCAGGACCCTGGGGGATGTCCACTTGCGGGCTTAGCACAGCAGTGGGACATCCCTCTCCAGCACAGTCCAGGACCCCTGGCTCCTTACACCCGCCTGCTTGCTACTCCTTACCGCTGGGTTGCTCCTTAGCTCTGCCAGGGAGGCGCACTGCACTCACCAGTCCTGGGCCCCGCTTCTGGCTGAGAGGTGCTCCCCCTGTGGGAGCACACTGACCACCAGGGGGAAGCTCCTGCATTGAGCTTCCAGGTTTTCTGCTTTCTGGTTGATTTGCATATTAGGGTTTTATTATATAGGATTACAAAAGGTTTGGGAGGACACGCAAGAAAGGTAACAGTGGTTGTCTCACAGGAGGGGACCTGGGAGTCAGAAACAGAAGGGATAGGGAGACTTTTCCCTATACAGTCTTTTGTACATTTTGAGTTTTTTCAAAAAAAAACTTCTTAAGTATACATACACAAAAGGTGAAAATGTTTGTACTTTCATAAACTCAACATACCCATGTAACCAGCACACAGATCAAGAAGTTAGAACATTCCTAACTTGCCAAAGCCCCCATTAGTCACTACCCCCAAGTAACTACTCTCCTCAAAAGTAACCACTATCTTGGTTTCTAACAGCATTGTGTGTGTGTAAGTTTTCCATGTGGATGTATAACCTTTTCCAAGAATTTTTAAAAATAGTAACAAACAGCCGAAACCGGTTTGGCTCAGTGGATAGAGCGTCAGCCTGCGGACTGAAGGGTCCCAGGTTCGATTCCGGTCAGGGGCATGTACCTGGGTTGCGGGCACATCCCCAGTGGGAGATGTGCAGGAGGCAGCTGATCAGTTTCTCTCTCATCGATGTTTCTGACTCTCTGTCCCTCTCCCTTCCTCTCTGTAAAAAATCAATAAAATATATTTTAAAATAAATAAATAGTAACAAACAAATACAGTTGACCCTTGAACAAAATGGATTTGAAGTGCACGGGTACACTTATATGCGGAAATTATTGCATAATTTTTCTCCCTAAGCAGGTAAATAGCTATAGGACTAAGCGGGAGGAAGAAATGGCAGGACCTGAGTAGTACAAACCACTGAGTAGACACAGAAAATGATGTTTTATCCAATAATCTTCAGTACACCAAGGGCCAGTGATTTATCCAAAATCACACAGCTAATTAATTTGTATTGAGCTAAAACCTGAACCCAGGCATTCTAACTCCTCATGCAGAGAGAATTAATAAAGGAGAAGTTTAACAGAGTGCTGGGGTCCAACCCCAGCAGGTCCAGGGGTCCCCAAAGGTGTGGACGGAATCGGCGAAGAAGGAATGACACGGAGACAGCGTTCAGTTGATCAGCAGCCTAGCCAGGATCTCTAGCCAGGATCTCCAGCCAAGTTCTGGTCTGGATCTCCAGCGAAGTTCTGGTTAGGATCTCCAGCCAGGTTCTGTGTCCATGTTCTCTTGCTAGGTTCTCCAGCCAGGCTCTGTAGCCATGTTCCCTCACTAGGTTCTCCAGCCAGGTTCTGTCCAGGTTCTCCAGCCAGGTTCAGTCACCAGGTTCTAGTCAGGTTCTCTTGCCATGTTCTATCCAGGTTCTGCACCCAGGTTCTGTCTCTAGGTTCTTCAGCCAGGTTCTCTCGCTAGGTTCTGTCTCTAGGTTCTGTGGCCAGTTTCTGTCCAGGATCTTTTGCCATGTTCTGTCTCTAGAGAGGTTCTTCTGTCTCGAGGTTCTGTGTAGGTTCTGTGTCTAGGTTCTGTGTCCTGTTGTCTTGTTACATCTGTATTTATACCAGTTGATTCCAATCCTATCAATCTCTATTCCAAAGGTTAGGGCGTTTCTTATCTCCATTCCAGGGAGTAAAGATTATGTAGCTTAAGCATGATTGTTCATAGTTAAAGTGATTAATTACCCGCCTGGCACTTAGTTAAGAGGTTTTATTCCCTCCCTAACTTCAGGGGAAAATCCCTACCTGGGGAAACAACCTTTCTCAGAGACCTTGGTTAAAACACATAGTGCCAAGAAGGTGAGCAAACATATTAAGAACAGTATGCCATATATGCCAGGTCCCTTGAAACAGCAAGCATGGACCGGCTCCCGGCGACAGAGTGAACCCTGAACAGAGAACTCAGGTTTTTAGAGGCACAGCTATGTGTAAGGGCCTGTGGTTGTGTAAGGGAAAGTTCTCAGAACTGTTGCCTATCACAGTCCTCTCAGGAAAATGTTTGGACGTTGCTGAGCAGAGATGTAGATAACAAAACCAAGTGCAAGGCAACTGGCTGGATTTTCTCTGAGAGTTAAATCTTAGGAAAATCAGAGTATAAAGTCTAGTCTATGCAGGCTCAAACCAAGGAAATCAAGTATGGTATTGTCATCCTGCTCAATCAGATCTTGGAGATGCAAAATGGTTTGTAATAGCAAAAGAATGTAAACAACATAATGGTCTATCAATAGGAAAGTCTGTAAAATAAATTATAGTACATACATACACTGATAATAATTTCACATGTATTGTGTCCTTAACCACATGCCAGAAACAGTTCTCAATGACTTTCTTCTACTCTCACTATCATAGTATGAGATAGCTGAAATTATGATCTTTGTTTTAATATATATCCTATCTAATAAAAGAGAACCATGGTAATTAGCATATGACCGCTACCCTTCCCATTGGCTAATCAGGGCGATATGCAAATTAACTGCCAGCCAAGATGGCAGCCGGCAGCCAGGCAGCTTGAAACTAACATAAGGCTTGCTTGCTTCAGTGACGGAGGACTCCAACGTTCCCTGCCTGCTGCTGCAGGCCTCTGAGCTGCAACTCTAAGCAACTATGTAACAAATATAGAAGCTAAACAAAACCCCAGAAATCTGCTTTAGTCCGCCCGGCTTCAGCCAGCAGGATCGCAACATTGTAAGCAAAGGCCAGAAACCTACTTTCAGCAGCGGAGGCCTAAGAGCTGGAGCCACGCCTCAAAGCTAAACCTGGCACAGAATAAAAAACGAAAAAAGAAAAAAAGGAGCGGTTGGGAGCTTCAGTCACCCCCAGCCTGAAAACAGCCGTCAGCCCCTCACCCAGACTGGCCAGGCACCCCAGTGGGGACCCCCCACCCTGAAGGGTGTGTGACCAGCTGCAAACAGCCATCATCCCCTCACCCAGGCTTGCCAGGCACCCCAGTGGGGACCCCCACCCTGATCCAGGACACCCTTCAGGGCAAACCAGCCAGCCCCCACCCATGCACCAGGCCTCTACCCTATATAGTAAAAGGGTAATATGCCTCCCAGCACCGGGATCAGTGGAGCCGCAAGGCCTCCCGGCACCGGGATCAGCGTGACAGGGGGCAGCGCCCAAACCCCCTGATCGCCCTGCGGCTCTGTGTGTGACAGGGGGCGGGGCCACAACCTCCCTATCCACCCTGCTCTGTTGGTGACAGGGGAAGGCGCCCCAACCCCCTGATCAGCTCTGCTCTGTGCCTGATAGGGGGGAGCTCCCCAACCCCCTGATTGCCCTGCGGCTCTGTGTGTGACAGGGTGCGGCGCCCCAACCCCGCCCCCCCATGGGCCCTGCTCT